ATGATGGGGTGACAGATGCAGCAAACTACCACGGCACATGTATAACTACGTTAACAAACCTGCATGTTCTGCACATGTACCCCAGAACTTAAAGTATAAAAGGAAAAAAAAGAATACGATAAAAAAAGGAAACTTAATGTAATAGATACCCACAAACTGGTTTGTTTTGGTTGTTTTTCTAACATTGTTTTTTTCTGCTGGTAAAATACCATAAACTCTAATTAATTCTTCCAGTTCAGCAAGTCTAATCTGAAATACTGCACTTAGTTTAAAAGCAGCATTACAGATTGATTCCAGATTCTACCCTATGTTTCCTTTCTCAGACCCCTATGATAAGTGGAAGGGAAGATGCCTTGTCTGTCCCGACACCACTCGTTCTCTGCAGATAAAACACAGCTCACCTGATTCACCTAGAAGAGTCTGTGCACACTCTTTTCTGGCCAATACATTCCTTCTTACTCCTTTTCAAATGGTGACCTCACTATGGCTGCCTTTTCTAGACTTCCTATGATAAGTAGCTGGCATATCCTCCCTCTAAACACATCCCCATGTTTCTTCCTCCAGAAACAATCAACAGAGAGAATAATTTATTTTTGAAACTGAACCCATCACCACATCACATCTTCCAAGTGCCAGTGTATGAGGTCTGATCATCTAATGTTGTGGCTGCTTCTAGATCTAAGTCTTCTTCAAGCACTTAATACTCTTTCAAATGTCTAACCTTTGAGACAGTGAGTGTGGGTCAAGAAAATTCTCTACAAAGACATAAGATATAGAAACAACTAACAAGACAAACACAAAGCCACCAAGTGACCCAAACAGCAACAGAAATGATGGACAATCAAGGCCTTTCTATTGTTCTTGGGCTCCCTGGGCATAGCAGGAAACCCTTCATGTGTCCATAAAACTCTGTGTAGTGCAAATTTTTAATTTGGTTTAAGGCATATTCTAATATTGGGTGACAATAACTACTACTTCACCAGAAGCCACTTGAGAACTGATTCCATCACCATGAGATCTGCTTTTTTTTTTTTTTTGAGATGGAGTTTCACTCTTGTTGTACAGGATGGTGTACAGTGGTGCGATTTAGGCTCACTGCAACCTCCGCCTGGCAGGTTCAAGCAATTCTCCTGTCTCAGTCTCCTGAAATCTGCTCTTTTATTGCGTCCCTGTTTTTATCAAGGTACCTAGAATGGGTAGGGCTTATTTGTTCCATTTCAGACGCTGGATACATCTGTGCTAAAGTGAAATAAACCCCTCTTCTTAGAGGGCATTTATGACTTTTGTGATATGTGACAGAAATTCCTATCACTGCTGCCTTCACTAAGTTGCAAACCATAACGTGGCATCTCCCAGGATCATTGCTGAGGTTTCATGATGCTGATTCTTTCAACTGAGGCAAATGTTTTGAACTTGTCTAAAAAAGCCTCTTCATATTTCTGTTTTCAGGCCAAGCTTTCACTTAATGTAAAGAGGAAATTTCATTGGCAGAAACAAAAGGGAAGTTTTCACTCCACTAAAGTCTTCCTGTATTGGGGAAAAAAGTTTTTCTTTTTTATCCTTTTGTCAAAAAAAAAAAGTTCCCCTTTCTTGCTTTGTACTTGTTGCAGCAAGTTCTGTTGGAATATCCACCAAAGGTGGCAATTTATTTTTAAACATTAATTAATTTATTTATTTGAGATGAAGTCTTGCTCTTGTCACCCAGGCTGGAGTGCAGTGGCACAATCTTGGCTCACTGCAACCTCTGCCTCTCAGGTTCAAGTCATTCTCCTGCCTCAGCCTCCTGAGTAGCTGGGTTTACAGGCGCCCACCACCAAGCCCAGCTAATTTTTGTATTTTTAGTAGAGATGGGGTTTCACCATGTTGGCCGGGCTGGTCTTGAACTCCTGCCTGCAGGTGATCTGCCCGTCTTGGCCTTCCAAAGTGCTGGGATTACAGGTGTGAGCCACTGTGCCTGGCTTTTCAAATTTAATTTTTTTTTTTTTT